CACGTCACCCCACCCTCTGCCTTCCGGGGGAGGCGGCGGGAAGCCCCGAGTGGCGATGCCAACCGCCTGCCCCTTTGCCCACCGCCCTTCCCATGAACTCAGGGGCTGGCCCGACCATCGCCACTCCCAGTGTGGGCCAGAGGTGAGCGGGGCTAGCAGTGGCGATGGAGTGAGGCTGGCTGTCCGGGCAGGGCCCCTGGTTCTGGTCCGGTGCATGCCTGTGGCCGCCCCGTGGGATACTGGGCCAGTCAGTCTCCTTTCGGCTCCCTGGGCGGTGACACCGGTGAGACCAGCCGGAGGAATTCCTGTAGAAACATGCCTTTCGCAGTCTGACTGCTGGGGCAGGAAGAGGCCTCGGAGTCCCTGGGGTCCAAACCTGGCCCTTCAGAGCGGAGGACACGGAAACCCAGAGAGTGGAAGGGACTTACTCAAGGCCGCACAGCTGGAGGCGGAGAGCTGGAGGGACCAGAACGCATGGGGGGGGGGGGGGGGGGCTGTCTCCAGCCCAAGGCCCTTCTCAGCACCTGATTCCACGATGCAACCTGGGCTGCTGTTGTCAGGGAGGGTGGGCAGGTGTGTGCTGGGGGCCCCAGGATGTCTCAAGCCTCAGCTGAGGATGGGGGGGGGGGGGGGGGGGGGGGCGGTCCCACTGGGCCACTCCGCTTGCCCTGGAGTTTGACTCCTCTCTCTCAGGGCCGGTGGCACAGTGGGAGCCTCCAGGAGCCACCCGCACCCCAGCAGCCTTCTCCACTTTTGTTTACTGACTTAATTCCTGCAGATCAAAGGCTGCCCCCTCCTCCCGGCAGGCAGGCGGGCAGGGGAATTACATTATTTATATTGGAAATGGGCAAGGCTCCACGGGGACTTCTTCCTGATGCCGCTTAAGAGAAAATTAGGTCGCCGGTCGCCGCCGCAGTGCCTCCCTGGTGCCCAGGTGCTCTGGGAAGGGTTCCAGGGGCAGCGGCCAGGGCTGCCCACCCGGCCCCTCTCCCGCCCGGAGCCTCCAGTCCATTATCGACCGGAGCCGCGAGTATTAATGTGACAAACCAGAGCCTCCTTCCCGGGCAGCCCCCGCCTGGGTGATCCATCATCTCCCGGGCTTTGCAGCTGGCACTGGGCAAACACGCAGGACAAACCGGCCAGATGCAGGCTCATTAAGCTCCTGGCCCAGGTGGTGGGACGGGGCCCGTGTGGGGGCCACAGGTGGGCTGGGGCCCTCCGAGCCAAGGCCGCCTCTGGGTCACCCCTGCTCTGTTCTCTGCTTTCCCCTGCAGCCCCCCGTCCTAAGAAAGCACCCAGAAAAAGAGGCACCCTCCTCAGACCCGGCATTATTCATCCCCACAGCACCCTAGAAAACCCCTCTTATTTTCATTTATTTATTTTTAATTTATTTCAGAGAGGAAGGGAGAGAGAAACATCAATGATGAGAGAGAATCATGAATTGGCTGCCTCCTGCACCCCCCATACTGGGGATTGAGCCTGCAACCCAGGCATGTGCGGAATTGAACCCGGGACCCTTGAGTCCCCAGGCTGCCGCTCTATCCACTGAGCCAAACGGGCCAGGGCTGATACCCCTGTTAGATAAAGACACTGCTGTGCCCAAAGCTTAGGTGACTTGCCTGGGATCACCGGCTGGCAAGTGGCTGAGCCGGGTCTGGAACCCAGGCCTCTCTGAGTTCCCCGCCAGGGAGGCCCTGAGCCCCTCAGCCGTGTCGTTTCTTCAGCCCTCCCCGTGGCTAGGTGCAAAGAATAGATTTCGTGTGTTTTCGCTGCTTTGATTACTTTAATGCTGCCACCTCTCCTCACCCCTTTTGTCATAGGAAGCTGAGTGTTTTCTGCATCTGCTCTTCGTGCTGCCCTGACGCTGTCCCAGAGGTGCCCGGAGGCATCACTGTCAACCCTCTTGACAGACAGGGAGCACCCAGAGGCTGCGGGAAGCCCAGCGCCTGGCCCTGCAGGGAAGGGGTGGCACAGAGCAAGCGTGCGGCTCAGTGGACTGGCCAGCCGGGCTCCGGCGGCTCCGGCTGCGGAATCAAGGAGATGTCTTGATTTCCTGGGCTCCGAGGCAGCCTGCCAGGAGCTATTCTGGGGCGAGCATCCCAGTGAGAAATGGGCATCGAGTGGAAACCGGGGGAGGACGCGGTGGGGTTCCTCTGAGTCAGCCCTCGTGTGCCTCGTGTGCGGGTCCTCGTGTGCTGACGCCCGGCCCTGCTGCCTCCCTAGAAGCGAGCTCCGGACTCCTGCCCCCGCCCCCCCCCCCCCCCCCGCCACAGGGGGCGTCTGGTGCTGATGCACATGCTCCGTCCAGCTTTCCCGCCGGAAAACATCGGCTTCTTCAACGGGTGAAGGCGTTCCTCAGTCGCACACATGAACATGGTTAGACATGCTCCGTGGACACGTGAAAACCTGCTTCAAACAGCCATGCTTCTCACGTGCCTAGTAGGGGAGGCTTGCCGTCCGCATTATTTAATTGCTCCGTGGGGGCGAGGGAGGGGACGGAGCCGGGGTGGCCTCCCTCGCCGCCTGGGCTGAGGGAGGCGGGGAATGTGCGGGTGGCTCGGCTGTCGCCTCCTCAGACTCGCAAGAAATTGGATTGGACACGTCGCAGCAATCTTCTCGCCAACACCTTTCCCCCCAGAGTCCCGCTGCCAGCTCATCGCTACCCTGGGTGGCTCCCTACTCGATCCTCCCAGGCGAAGGCTCCTGGGGCGGGCAGCCCTGGGAACAGCGGCCGGGCACTCAGCTCTCGGGCGGGCGGGCGAGGACCACAGGCAGAGGATGGAGGGCTGGGAGGGGGCTCGGAGCAGCTGCTAGGGATCCCTGGGACCACAAGCACCACAGTGAGGCACTGAGGGCGGTCGGCACCCAGTGGTCTTGCCACCTCCATGGGCCTGAGCAGCAAGCGGACGGAGGAAGCCCGAGACAAACTTGTGACAGCTTAGAATTTTTATTAAAACAATCACTTAAATTACAACCACCTTCCCAAACAGGAAATAGTCTTCCGGGGTCTGGCCCTGACAGGAGGCGAAACTCAGGCCCCACAGGCAGACGTGGGGCTTGACGTCTTTGGAAAGGGACGGGGCTCCCCTGAAAGCCCTGGCCCCAGGCCGGCCTCCCCCCAGGGCCGCCCCCTCCCCGCCAGGGCCCTGAGGCTCCAGTCCCTCAGCCTCTGGACTTGTCGTTTTGATTTGGGAGAGAGAGAGAGAGAGAGAGAGAGAGAGAGAGAAACCTGCACCCAAGATTGCAAAACACAGCCACTTAAGGCGTTATGTAACGCCACGGGTGCTGTCTAGCGGGGCCTGGCGGGGACGAGAGTAACGGAGTCCACGCCACAGGTCGGAGCGTGGCTGTGGCGGAGGCGAGGCCTCC